ATTTTCCAACTACTGGACCCTCCTCTTTGCTCCCTACTTTTGCATTCCAATCACCAGTAATGAGCAATACATCTTGATTGCATGTTTGATCGATTTTAGACTGAAGAAGTTGGTAGAATTCTTCTATTTCATCTTCACTGGCTTTAGTGGTTGGTGCATAGTCCAGGATAATTAGCACAAATTCATGCAGACAGGAGAAGAGCTCGTATGCTTGTTGGTATCTGTGTTAGGTATCTAGTGCTGCTATAACAGAAATACCACAAGTGGGTGGCTGTCACAAACAGATCTATTTTCTCACAGTTTAGGAGGTGAGAAGTCTGAATTCAGAGTGCTGGCTCTAGGGGAAGATTTTCTATTTCTGTCAGCTCTGGTGGAAGGTTCCTGTGTTGGTGAGCATCTGCCCCTGGGTGGTCTTCATGTGGTGTGGTAGCTCTCTTCCTCCATTCTCTCCTGCTCACGTGTTTAATCTCTTTTATATCTCAAAAGAGATGGACTCAAGACACAACCTATATGAATTCTGCCTCACTAATGTAACAAAGACAATCCATTCCCAAATGGGATCATAACCACAGGCATGGAGGTCAGGTTTTACAACATGTATTTGGGGGGGTGGAGAGGGGAATAGAATTCAATTAAGAATAGTTTGAAGTTTTCTGACTTGATGAGAGTCCTGGCCATGTTTCTCATACTGTGCATACCAGGATTTAGATGGTACCGGGGATGCCTTTCTCTCCCAGTGCTCAAAAGTGCTTAATCTGTGGGGTCATCGATCCCAAACTAAACCATACCCACTGCCGTGAAGTTGATATCAGCTTACAGCAACCCTAAGAGACAGTGTATGGTGCTATAGGATAAGCACTGTACTGCGAACCAAGAGGTTGGCACTTCAAATCCACCAGCCACTCTTTGGAAACCCAATACAGGGTCACTACGAGTCAGAACTGACTCAATGGCACTTAGCAAGGGAGAGTAGAACTGCTCCTGATGGTTTGAGAGAATGTCATTCTCTACTGGGGCAGCCGGCCTCAGCTTTCTGCCACAGGGCAGCTGGTGGGTTTGAACCACTAACTTTGTGGTTAGTAGCACAACGCTTAGCCCTGTGGGAGCATCAGGGTGGGTCTTTCACTAGACAACCCCATGTGGGGTCCTAGACTACTCATTGCTGAGAATACATGAGACCTCACTTGCATATTGAGTGAGGGGGAAAGTTTCACAAAATGTACTTTATAATAAAAGGAGGAACTGGAACTGGAAAAAAAAAAAAAGTTAGCTGCTTACATTGTAGGACTTTAGTTGGTGAAGAATGAGGACAGAGGAGGAGTAGAGATTCTTAGACGTGCCCTTCCACACGTCTAAGAGAGAGCAGCAAGTGCTACCTGCCCCTGAGCTCTATGTAGAGCCCTTGGGGTTTGTGGGCCATATAATCAATCTGCCAGCAAACACATACAGTGCCTTTCTTTGCTCAGTGCAAGGCTCACTGGGGGGTGTATGAAGACAACCAATCCAATCTAATCACCATCAAGTCCATTCTGGTTCATAGAGACCTGCGTGTGTCAGAAGAGAACTGTGCTTCATAGATTTCTAATGGCTGATTTTTAAAGATAGATAACAAATCTTTCTTCTGAGGTGAATTTGGGTAGACTAGAACTGCCATCCTTTTGGTTTATAGCCAAGTATGTTAGCTATTCATACCATCCAAGGACTCCCATTAAGACACATATGCCATCAAGTCGGTTCTAACCCTAGCGACCCTGTATAGGGTTTCCAGGGAGTGTCTGGTGTGTTTGAGCCATTGACCTTATGGTTAGCAATTCAGTGCTTATCCAACAGTGCCATCCCAGGACTCCATTAAAATACAGAGGACACTCATATAGTGCTTTAGTCTCCCAACAACTCTACTGGAAGTAGATATTATTATCCTCATTTTATAATCAAGGAAACTGAAGGCCATACAGGTTAAATATCTTATCCAAATATCTCCCAGCTAAGGAGTGACAGAAGTAGGCGTTGTACTCTCAGGTCTATGCTGCTTCTTGGGTAAGAGCTGCTTCTTGTACATTAATATTTTGTATTGACATTTGATTTACAACATTGGGTAGTTAAGGACTCCACGAAGGGCCAAGCCAACCATCTATTTTGTCTTCAAGCAAAGCAGCAAAGTGTCTCAGCACTATTACTGGTAATGCATTCCCATTTTGGTCCAGTGAGGGGGAGACCAAGCTATCTTAATGGAGAGTGTCAGAAATGAGGTGTTAGACTCTTAACACAGATGTATTAATTTTGTCCTGATGTGTGGATAGGAACTGTGGTCTTCAGGGTCTACCTTGGTACTGGTACCTCTTTCAACACAGAGAGAGAAGCTCAGAGCTAAAGCAAACACTTGGAAGGTCATGAATGGGGCAGGCTTGTGCTTTCCAAACCATTTTCAGAAACAAAATAGTAGTCACATCCACTTCTGGGTTAATGAGCAGAGCTAGCAGTTTCTAAGCTGAGCAAGGACTGCGCTTCTAACCTTACTGCCTCAATGCTTCAAAGTAGGTGGGTGCATACTGCCCTGTGCAGCTGTAGAAAGCAACTTCCTGATCTTCCAACTCCATCAGAAGAAGATTCCCCTCAACCCCCGCTGGCACCCATGAGACGAAGCCACTGTCCCTCCCTCTTTCACTTCTTTGCTCCCTTTGTGCTAACTACTTATCCTTGTTTATTGCTCTCTTTCTTCCCTATTTCCTTATTTTCTTTCTTAGAGAAACTCTTGCTCCTTTGGCATGACCTAGAGCTAGGGTATGCTCTTCAGAAAAGGAATTTTAAAATTCCATATTCTTTCTTCTTCTCTCTCTCTTTTTCTTTCTTTTGAGGCTTTCCTAAGCAGTGCAGGATCTAGAAGTAGATCTCAAAACCTTACAAGACAGTCTATATAACCAGCAGTGACCAGTTTGTCATTACCAAGGTTTCAGGGAGAGGAGTAGAGCTGGCAATGCTGTCTCCTCAGCTCTGGGATTTACTGGCATCATCTCGACCCATTGCCCTGCCCTCCACAGGATAACATCAAGATATTGGTTATTTCTAAATGAACACCACCAGTTTCTGTTGAGCCAACTGTGACTCATGGAGACCGTTGATGTGTCAGAGTACAGCTGCGCTGCCTAGAGTTTCCTATGACTGATTTTTTGGAAGTAGATTGCTAGGTGTTTCTTCCAAGGTGCTTCTGGGTGGACTTGAACCGCCAACATTTCAGTTAGGAGCTGAGCACATTAGTTTGCACCACCAGGGATTCCATTTCAAAATTAGAGTCCCAGTGTGACACTTACAATAAGCACTGGACTGCTAACTGCAAGGTCAGTGGATCAAATGCACAGGGACTCCTCAGAAACCCTATATAGCAGGTCACTCTGAATTGGAACAAACTTGATGGCACATTAACAACAACAATATAAAAACTCGGGACCTTCGTTATAGAGAGTTCCCAAACCTGTCAGGCAAGATTTTCAAAGTGAATTTGGCTAAAATACATAAAATCTGGGGATGCTTAGAAGCTCCTCTTCATTGTCCCTCTTGTAGGATGGATGTGGGCACAGAGAGTTTTCCTCATCTTCAAGTGGTACTAGATGAGATAGATTCATTTCATGCAGCTGTCTGCCTGCTATAGAACCTGATCCCCACAATAACAAGTTTGTCACGAACCTATTCCACCAGCACAGTGGAGTTTTCGCATCTGGATTTTAAATCTCCAGTGCTGCAGCTCTGTAGGATAAGCACTGGACTGCTAACCACAAGTCTGTAGTTTAAGCCTACCAGCTGCTCTGTGGGAGAAAGATAAGAGTTTCTGTTCCTGCAAAGATTTACAAGTCTCAGAAACCCTATACAAGGTCACAACAACTCACTTTATGGCACTTAACAACAACAACAGTATTTCCCAACTCATCGTTCAGTGTCATTCCTTGGCACTTTCCAAGAATATTGGGTCACTGAAGTCAATTCTTAACTTCTGAAACATAGACCTTCACCAAAATATCCACAGTGGCCACATCATCAGTGTGTTGCTTATCTTGCACTGTTATAACAGAAATACCACAAGTGGGCCGTCTTAACAAACAGAAATTGATTTTCTCACAATTTAGACGTCTAAATTCAGGGTAGGAACTCTAGGGGAGGGCTTCTTACTCTGGGGGCTCTTGGAGGAGGTTTTATTCCTTTGAGCTTTGGTCATCTTCATATAGCTTGGCAGCTCTCTTCCCCCATCTCTCCTTTGCTTCCTTGTTTAATTTCTTTAATATCTCAAAAAAGATGGATTTAAGATACAATCTATACTCACATTGTCTCATTAACATTAAAAATAAAACCCATTCCCAAATGGGATTATAACCACAGGTTTGTTGTTTTTAAGTGCCATTGAGTTGGTTCTGACTCATAGTGACCTTGTAAAGGGTTTCTGAGGAGTGGCTGGTGGGTTTGAATCACTAACTTTGCTGTTAGCAGTCCAGTGCTTACCAACTACTGCACCACACCAGGACTCCAACCACAGATATAGGGATTAGGATTTACAACACATATTCTTGGGGGGATGTGTCCATCACAGCAGATATAAGAAAAAACGGTTTTGATTAATTAGTTATTCCAGATCCCCTGGAGGGCAACTAGTTTGTGATAAAGGAGTCAATGCTTCTTGAAGGAAAGATGCTCCCTCTGCTCCAATACCACTCACTGAGGCTGCGAGCAAAGAAAACACATGGCAATAAAGTTTAGAGGAAGTATAAGGTTGTATTTTAGAACAATTCCGGGCCTTTAAGAGGCACTTCCAAAGTGCCTTCTCTGTCCTCTTGAACATGTCTCTGTGGTTGAGAGGAAGGTGTTCAGGATTACCTGGTTATTTCTTCTTTCAGAGCAGCAGGGTCTGTAGGGTAAAACTTCACACGGAAACACATGGTGAATGGAGGCTGGGCTGCAGAGAAATACAGGTACCCATCAGAGGAGGTTTTCCACCAGAAAATATCCACTCTGGGACAGACAGGCCTCTGAATCATCAGAAGAAAACCTTACACTCAGAGCCACCTTATACTCAGAGCAGTGGAAAACTGCATATGAAGGCCAAGTATGGGAGGTTTTAACCCACCCTCCTTAAGTGTGAGGCTTCAGTCTTTTCATGAAGAATACTTACATCTCAACTGCTTCATAACAGACTTTGTAAACTCCAACCAATGCTGAAATGGAGAAAACAGAACAAGAGAACCTAATGAGCAGCAGTAGCAAATATGACTTGTTTTATCCAGTTTAAATAACTAGACAGATTGTAGCCCAGGATGCAAGCAACCCGAAAGCTTGTGAAATGTAGATTTGGAGTGATATGAATTTTTGAAATGAGCTCCCCATGGAGCCAGCTGTGAAAGAGGGAACAGTTCTGTCTTAAGATGCCATTTCTGGGTTTCCCTGGCAATGCTGCCTTCCAAAGGAGGGTGCCAAAGTTCTAAGCCATGTTTCTGGCTGCCTTAGCACAATGTGTGCATGTGTATGTGATGGGGACAGAGCCCCATGTGACTTGAGTAGGGAAATGCTGACTTTAATGGGCAGTGGTTGTGTTACATGCCAACTATTTTTGGCAGAGGGGCAGGGACAGAGGCTATTGGTAGCAGTTCTAGAAAGTATTGGTAAGTGGAATGTCAGAAATGGGACGGCTGGTATAATGCCATCTTTGTTTGAAGAGTGTAGATTGCCAGCCCTTGTATTAGTGAGTACCTACCCAGGATTCCTTAGCATCCAGGAGTGTTTAAAGTCTGTCTCATAAGATAACCAACCACAACCAATGCTTAGTATTGGTGAATAGTAAGCACCCTGTTTCCCTTGGATTTTCATAGAGGTAGGGCACAGTAGCAATTCATCACCTTCTCTCACCCTCATCACCACTTATGTTTGAGGAAGGAAGCAGTGAGGTTACTCTAGCTGTTTCCCATTTCTACATGGGTGCTTCATAAAAATTCATTATTGATGTTGGTGGCTTTTAAGGTAATAAGGAAATGTGTCAATTTGCAGAGAGCCAGAATTGCTGTGATATGGGGTTTGATTATCTGAAAGTAGCTTAAGGCCATTAAATGTAAGTTCTGTGAGGACAGAAAACTTGTCTGACATGTTTACCACTATATTTCCAGTGCCTAGCAGAGTGTTCAGTATGTAGCACTTGGATAAATGAAAGGACTGGGTCCACACCTTCTTCTTTTCTAGCTACTTCCATTTAGAGTAATGTCTTGGCACAGTCCTCCCTCTAACAGGAAGGGAACCAGCGCCATGCAAGCAGTGTCCGAGCTTCCCTTGATGCCCAGCTCTCACCTCCTGGGCTGGGCTTGGGTCATTCAGTTAATGGACCCACTATGAGCTAGTTCTCCCATCAGCTCCACGTGGATAATCTGGGCTGACATTCTACTTTCTTGCTTCCTAAGATCTGAGTTCCCAGGAGGCTGGCAACTCATTACAGTCACTCATTGTGGTTCAGAGGGCCTTCTCACATTACATGGCCTACTGAGGCTCCGCAAGAGAGAAACTGCACACAAAGAAATGGGGTTCGAAGCCCTTCTGGTGAAGGTGCAGGAGGCCTGTGTGTTCAGAGTGCACAGTGAGAAGAATATAGCAAGTGTCTGACACTCAGTAAACAGAACATCCCTAGACATTAGACTGACAGATTAAAAGAACCGACAGTGATGACTGGGAGAAGCATTATCAATAGAGGGTAGAAGAAGCAGAACTACAAAAAGGCTGCTTGTACCCCTTCGCTGCAGGAAGTCTTTAGTTTTTAGTTTGCACCGTGAGAGCTCAAGAAAGGATTGATCTGGAGGTGAGGACGTGGATGGGAAGGGAGTGGAAAGTTGTCACAGCTCATCCAAAAGGTTTTAAGAGTCTGGTAGACAAATCTGACAGTTTTCCAAGAAAGGTGACCAGTTACCTTTTATAGCTATCTGGCTCAATCTTGGTTCCAGTATTCCTAACAGATGAATGGTATGGGATTAGGGAGGAAGGGTCAAAAGAAGAGAGAAAGGAGATACAGAGAGCGGAGTTTCCTTCTTTATTTGGGTGAATAGCCCTTGTGGCACCATCTTCAGAAACTGGGGCATGAAAGGGTAGGAAGAGAGGTTGAAAGCATTCAAACTCTGGGCCTGAACCAAGAACAGCGGGGAGGGCAGCTAGCTCCCCAGGAGGGAAAGGAGAGTTACCATGAAGAGACCTACAGAGCACGCTGTTATGCTGATGGGTGTGAGGCTAGGCTCAGACCATCTGATGAGTGAGGGGTAGAGATTTATTTCAAGGGCGCCACGGAGCTTACCCACACCCTCTCTGCCACCAATGAGTAGCTCTAGGCTGACATCTCCTTTAGAGGTCCACTTCCCTTCAACCTCAGGACCCTCTCAAGTCTCTCTGCTCCCCCTTCTCCTTTCCTAGAGGCACCACATCACACAACTCAGAGGCTCCCAGGTACAAGTTCAGCACAGAATCTCAGCAATCACACAGGCTCTGCACTCAGATAGGTCTGACTCTGCCACTTACCTGGGGCGAGTTACTTAACCTGTCTGAGTCTTTATTTTCTCATCTGGAAAATGGATATTATAATTGTGGATAGTCATCTCATTTATGTAAGAATTAAATGAAATAAAACGTGACGCTCTTTGCCACAACAAACATAACTGAAAGAATTAGGTATGCATTCAGTGCAGAGCCTGGTATACAGTAAGCACTCCATAAATGTTTATTGCTCCTCTTCCTCATTTCCTGACTTATTCTATCTCCTCTTCTTTTCATCTTTATCAGACCTATGTGCTCTTCAAGCACATTCTTACCTAACTTAAAAATAATGAACAGGCTACATTTTGGCCCCTCCCCCCTTTTTTTATACACCACCCTTTCTAGGAGAAGAGATCTGGGAGTAACTGATGTTTCTTCTTAAGGACAGTCATCTCAGACTAAGCCAAACCAAACCAAACCAAACAAAAACCACTTGTGAAAACAGAATGAACTTAGCGGCATTTAACGACAACATGATCTAGTGAATGGGCCTGGGCAACATGTGAGGCTATTTGGTGGCATGCTGCTTTTGGACCTGTATTTGTAATGTGGTCCAGAGCTTAGAAGTCTTTAAACCAAGACAGCAAAGCCTTTTCAGGGTGAGGGTCTGACTTCTGAGGCTAAGCTCTGACTATGAATAAGTGCCAGATTAAGGCTTACTCACTAATCCTGTCCTTCTTATATGCTTTGAACATTGACTTACCCGCTGTTTATCTGGGTCCACAAAGCGGATCCCAAAATAGTCTTTCTCAAGTAGGTTCAGGTGGTGGCAAAGAAGGTCAAACAGGTACTGGCCTTTGGCATCTCTCTGCAAAGAAAAAAAGTTCCATTAAGAAATAAGTGAGTTTCAGAGTAGACACGGATGGGCAACTTGGACATTGGCTACCCAAAATGGGCGGGGGGGGGGGGGGCTACAAAGACAAGAAGTGACTGGCTTACAAGCTTTCAAGAGGGAACCTAGATTCAGATGGCGTGAAGGAAGGTAGAATCTCCACTGGGCAGGGCTGATGAAATGAAATGTGCATTCATCTCTTGTGATACAATAGTGAATAATTGTTATCAGGACTGCTTGTGAGGGTTGGAAATGTAAAGGTAGATGTTTTGTAGCAAGGAGGGAAGCGATTAACTTTTCAGCCTAGGAGCAGAGGTCCCTGGGACCATCAAGAGAGAAGAGCAGAGAGCAGAACCCTACCCAGAGAAGCAGTGATGTCTGAGATGGAGGCAGAGACGATGACATGGAGAGATGGAGCAGTTGGGGACTTTAGACTAGAGAGGGAGAGGGGCTGTGTGCTGACAACCGGGGGGCAGACTTGTAGTGTATACCCTTTGGTTGGTTGATGATGCATGGAGGGGACTGTAACCATAACGATGAAACAATATAAGATAGGATGAATGTAAAACTAATGTTCTTCCATGTAAACTATTACATAAGTCACAATGAAACATTGAAAAAAAAAAAAAAAGAAAGAAGTGAGTTTCTACTACTGTAAAATAGACACTTGCGTGGGATAGGAAAGCCTATCTTCAGCCTATAACTGACTGGAATACCTAAAAGGGGTTCTAGAATTTGCTCAGTGAAATAGCCTTCCTGGAGCCTTTGTAGTCTATAGGACCAAAGGTGTAATCCTGAGCCCCATCCAGAACCCTCTGAAGTACGGCATTTCTACTTGAAAGGACAAGCAGACCAGCCTGGAATAGCTAGAGGAATAGAAGATACTTCTTGAAAGAAAGACCAGCAGGAAAAATAAAAAACAAAAATGGCAGTCTGATTGGCTACTATAAGAACAAGCAAGTTGTTCGCTGGGGAGCCATCAAGCCAAGCAATCAAGTCCTTTCAAGACAAAGCCCCCTCCAAGACTAAAATTCAAAGGGAACACACAAGCAGGTATGTAAGCTTGCTGGCAACCACATTGGTCTTCTGGTGAGTGGAAGAGGGGGAAAGACAGCAACGAAGATATGGGCCGAGTTTGACCACGTTCCATAGACTCCCATAGACCTGGAGATAGGAGAGCAAAGAGGAGGGATTGGTTGGTCGGAAGTGTGGTGAGACCCGTGGAATCCTGAGCCCAGGAACAAGGACGTAGCCACAGAGGGATGGAGTTGAGAGTGAAGCGCCCAGCTGATGTGAAGTGAGGGGAGACGCACAACAGAATGCCCAAACTTGTAGATAGTACCCATTCGAGCTGGCTTCAATGGCTTGATGATCAGAACTCAATCAGAGGAAGACAAAGAAAAAGAAAACAAAAAATATATATATTTATGTATATCCTTTTTTTTTTCTGATAAAGGAAATAAGTGTAAATTGCTACAATTTGATGGACTTGACCTATACTTATTAATGTAGTAGCTCAAAATACCAACTGAGAGGAAAGGAGTCTACGTCTGTATACAGGGCTGATAGGGACATGCAACTTAGATATTGGCTACCTAAAATGGGAGGGGCTATAAAGGCATGAAGTGTCTGGCTTACAAGTTTTCAAGAGGGAGTTTGGTTTCAGAGTGTGTGTGGGAAGGTAGAATCCCCACTGAATAGTTTTCATCTTGTCTAGACAGGTCTGGTGAAAGGACATGGGGATAGGATTCTTTTTATTCAATGGTGAGGAACCATTATCATGACTAACTGTGACAGTCATAACTGTAAAGGTAGAAGTTTTGTAACAAAATGAGGGGAGTAGTTAATCTTACAATCCAGGAACAGAGAACCCTAGGGCCATCAAAGGAGAAGAGCACAAGCAGAATGTGGGACCCTATCCAGAGAAGCAGCAGCATCAGAGATGGAGGCAGAGATGAGGGCATGGAGAGAGAGAGTGGCTGAGGACTCTAGACTCGAGGAAAGAGAAAGGCTGTGTGCTGTCAGCCAGGTACTTGTGGCCAGAGGGCAGGCTTGCAGAATGTGTCCTTTGGTTGCTTGAATGATTTCTGAGTGTTTTGGTGTACAACCTCCGCTCCCCCCCAAAAAAAAACCCAAAACCAGAGGGAAGAGAAGCAAATACTGTTGAATGATGATGCACAGAAGAGATTGTAATCATTGCAATGAAATGATAAGTGTAAAACTGATGTTCACCCATGTAAACGAATCACTCAATTCATAATAAAAAACTTAAAAAAAAATGAAAAAAGAAATAAGTGAGTTTATTTTTACAGTCATTAAAAATTGTATAAAATTTTTGTGTATCTATATGAAAAGGGCCCATGTCCAAACTGTGTCTTCCATATTTGATATATTAGAATTTTAGCATGTGACAAAAGCCTAAGAACCCTTCCCTGTATAGGACTTCCTAGGAGTGGCTTTGGAGTTGAACCACCAACCTTGCTGTCAAATGGACTTTGCAGTCCTGTACTTATCCTACAGTGCCATACCTCTATATACATATATAAGGGACCCTGGTGGCACTGTAGGATAAGCACTAGACTGCTAACAGCAAGTTTGGCATTTGAAACACACTAGCCACTCTGCAGGAGAAAGATAAGGCTTTCTACTCCTGTGAGATTTGCAGCCTCGGAAACTCTATATAGGGTCGCTATGCGTTGGAAACAACTCTATGGTTGTTATTGTTAAGTGCCATCGAGTCAGTTCCAACTCATAGTGACCCTGTATAGGGTTTCTGAGGAGTGACTGGTGAACTTGAACTGCCAACCTTGCCATTCAAACTTACCTTGCAGTCCAGTGCATTAACCCACAGCACCACACCAGAACTCTCTCTCTCTCTCTAGTTGTTAAGTGCCTTTGAGTCAGTTCCAACTCATAGCGACCCTGTATAGGGTTTCCAAGGAGTGGCTGGTGGGTTTGAACTTCTGACCTTGAGGTTCAAATCAACCTTTTGTTTCTGTGCAGTATCTTGCAGTGCCACATCAGGACTCATATGTAAAAAAAAAAAAAATATATATATATATATGTGTGTGTGTGTGTGTGCGTGTGTGTAAGATAGATAGATAGGTAGATAGATAGATAGATAAAACAAAACAAACCAGTTGTCATCAAATTGATTCCAACATATGGAATACTATGTGTTTCAGAGTAGAACTGAGCTTCATAGGGTTTTCAATGGCTGTGATCTTTTGGAAGGAGATTGCCAGATCTTTCCCCTGAGGCACCTCTAAGTAGATTTGAACCTTCTGTTTTTTAGTTAGCAGCCAAGCACTTAACCTTTTGTACCATACAGAAACTCATATACATATACATTTCCTCTTTTAAACACACAAATGATAGAATGTTATATATACTATTCTGTTACCTATTCCCCCCACCACTTAGCATATCTTACAAACTCTCTTATAGCAGGAGATACATATACGCCTCACAGTTTTTAACTGCTGCATATCTTTCTAACTCAACCCAATGCCATCAAGTTGATTTTGACTAAGACAGAGTAGAACTGCTCCATTGAGTTTCCATGGCTGTACATCTTTATGGATGCAGACTGACACATGTTTATCCTACAGAGCAGCTGGTGGATTCCAACCACTGGCCTTTTGGTTACCAGCCAAATGCTTAACAACCACACACCAGGACTCTTGACATACCATTCTAATGAACCTGTTTCTTTAGCCAGTTTCACAAAGATAGAATTTGTTTCTAATCTTGCTATATACAAACAGTGTAGCAGTGAATACAGTGATCTTTAATTCTGCTACTACTCCTGCTTAACATTTGCAGTGGTTTTCCATTGCTCTCAGAATAAAATCCAAACTCTGACCATGACCTCCAAGGCCCTACATGACTTGGCTCCTGCCACCTCTCTGACCTCATCCCAAATTATTTTGTCACTACACAGGGGCCATGGTCTTTCTGTTCCTGAATGCCTCAAGGGTTTTCTGTCTTTAGGCCTTTGCATTTGTTCCCACTACCTGGAAGATTCTTCTTTCGTTCTTCCCACAGCAAGCTCCTTCTATCCTTGAGGTCTCAGCTTAGACGTCCCATTTACAAAGAGATCTTTCACATATAGAATGGACTTTTCCTAATTATTTCCTTTACAACACATATGTTGTCCTGAGGTGCTGACAATTTGGTTCCAACTCATACTGACCCTATATTTTGTTGTTGTGAAGTGCCGTTGAGTCAGTTCCGACACATAGCGACCCTGTACAGGGTTTCCGAGGAGCAGCTGGTGAGCCTGAACTGCCGACCTTGCGATTCAAACGGCTTTTTAGTCTCGTGCATTACCCCACCATGCCACACCAGGACTCCGGTGACCCTATATCTAACAGTGCAACATGTTGATCCATCCTGCATCATCCTCACAACAGCAGCTCTGTTTGAGCTCATTGTTTCAGCCAATGTGTCAACCCATCTGGCTGAGGATCTTCCCCGGTTTTGTTGCTCCTCTACTTTGCCAAACCTGGTGTCGTTCAGTCTCACCACCCTTGCTTCTAAAGAGCATTCTGACTGTACTTCTTCCAAGACAGATTTGTTCATTCTTCTGGCAGTCTATGGTATATTCAGTATTCTTCATTAAAACCATAATTCAAAAGCATCAATTCTTCTGTCTTCCTGTTCACTGTCCAGGTTTTATATGCATATGAGGTGATTGAAAATATGCATGAAACTATCTATGGCTTAGGTCAGGCACACCTAAGTCTTCAAAGTGTTATCTTTGCTTTTTAACACTTTAAAGAGGCCTTTTGCAGCTGATTTGCCCAATGCAACATATATAGCATATATGTTGCTGTTAAGTAATGTTGAGTTCGTTGTGACTCATAGCAACTCAATGAGCAGCGGGTGGATTTGAACCGCCAACCTTTCAGTTAGCAGTCCAGTGCTTATCCTACAGTACCACACTAGGATTCTATAGCATGTATAATAATCTG